TGTAGGTTGGTCGATCTTTCCTGACGTTGACAATGACTTAAGCAGTGAAGATGCGAATGGCAAGAGCAAACTGCATTATTATCATGAACTCATCCTTCACAACATGCTAGATACGCATTGCTAGATAGGACTCTATGGTGCACGACCAAGTTCTTTACTAGATAGAATGATGCTATCCATAGTTTACTTTTGTTTCACCATATTAGATCGTATAAAGAATTTAGATAAAACTATTTTGGATATTACTAGGTGGAGATTATTTTGGACAGACTAAGACGGATAATAAGATTCGATTTTTCATTTAAAAGAACGTAATTTATCATATGTTTGGATCTCACTCAACTCGTCTTTCGTCTTCAATATCATGTTATATTATGTTATACAGTTAATAATACAAATGACTATATTTTAAAAGAAAATTTTAAAATACTGATCATCTTAATTCACTACAATACCATTTACTTACTATAGTCATTATAGGATGTGTTTGACATCCATTTTGGAGAAAAAATAAATTCTGAAATAATGATTGATGGAAGAATGTGTGGTTAAAAAGCAACGAAAATTTTTGGGTTTATGTATAATATTATTTTATTGATAAAATGTGTTGTTGAAATGAAGAAAGAGAAAAAAAATGAGAGAGAATAAGAAGAAAATAAGTGTCAAACAGGGGCATAATTTTAAACTAAATTACACGATCTAAACCAGTCCAAACGTAGCCTTGTAATTGTAGAACAGATTGAATCAACATTAATAAATTCTTCAAAGAAAATGAAAAGCAAAAAAGAAGAAGGGAAATAAAAGAAGGATTTGTGTGAATTTAACATCTCAAATCTAACTGCCAAAGAACATTTGAAGTACGAAACAGTAAAATTTCATTCCTTGAAAATTTCAATAGACAATGGCACACACATTTTGCCTCTTCTAATTTATCATACAGTAATTTCTCTCTTCAGGTTATTTGGCAATCTCTTGAATAATAATCCTCATGTTTTTTGCTATTCCAAACTCCAAAAGCATTTCACCCGGAAGGTAAATGGTACATATTAACTTTTGCAATTCTTCCATTTGTAGTAATCCTCAGCAAGTTATTAGCTGCAACAAAGAAGACAATTATGCAAAAAATACAAGCCAATCGTTCCCTTGCTTGTTGCTGAATTAGTCTCCCACTGCACAAAGTAATCGTGGATAAAGCTGAATAACAGGGCTTATATAGATGGGATATTATG